GGGGCGGGGGCGGGCGGGCAGACAGGCGCGTTCTCACAATGTCTCAGGGGCACCTGTCTCCTGGGGGCAGAAGCACAGGCCGGGGCTAAGACTGTGGCAGATCCATTTATACCCCAAGAACGACAGGCAACTCAGGGCTGGGCGCAGTTCAGGCCAGAGGACTTGCCCAGCAGCACTCGGCTGGGTTCTTGGCAGGACCCTAAATGAAGGCAAAATGTACGTTCTGCTCCCTTGAAAGTCTGTGCTTATTTTCATATAAAAACACACATTTTTCTAGTAAAACCCACAATCCTCTCGGGTGCAGACAGCACAGAGGGCAGAGGGCCCACAGCGGGCCACAGGGCCCGGTCAGGGTCCCCGCGGGCAGCGAGAGAAACCCCCGCGGGCCGGGTGGGCGGAGCGGGAGAAGCTGGGGCTCACCTGGCGCCTCTTCCTCTCCACCCACTCCCGGTGCTTCTCCTCCGCAATCACTTTCCTCTTCTCGCGCGCTTCCATTTCTTTTCTTCTTTCCATCTGTTGACTCAATTCCTGGGGGTGGGATTTAAACAGAAGGCAACAGTTAAGGGAAGTGGGCACGCGCGCCCCTTTAGTAGGCTGAGCTGAACCCAAGTGAGCGCGAACTCGGTCTCCGCGACGGCCGCGTGTGACAGCAACGCGCTGAGGTGACCGGTCTGTGACGAAGGAAAGCACCAGGAAATCGCGTCGGGTTTTGGAAATGCGAATAACTGCTCGGCAGCAAGACACTCGTTTCTCAGACTGAAGTGCAGCAAAACCACCCTCGCTGAAGCCAACTTTCCCACATGTAACCGCGGTTGGGGATGCGGGCTCAGGGCCGTGACAGTGTCTCGGTCACGAAGGGCTGCTGGGCGCTGAGCAAGTGAGGCCAGGAAGGAAGAGCCCAATGCAGAGGCACGCCAGAGGAGAAACGCAAAGGATTCGGTCTTCCTCAGAGAAAAAGAATCTGGAGTTTCTTCATCTTTGCTCGCCGCTTGCTGGGGGGTGGGACAAAGCCCCATCCTCACCCTGGGCATTTCCTGGGGAGAATGCGGCCTATGGCCAAATCCACCACTGTCACTGGCCCTGAGCTGGCCAAGCCACAGGGCTTCAGGGGAGCTTCGTGCCCTGGGATCGGGTCCATCCACTCTGGGCTTCGACCAGGCCCCGGCCGCCCCTTCCCCAGGACACCTGCCTGCCGCTGGGTGGCATGGCCAGGACGATGTTCCCACGCACAGGCCGGCTCCCCGTCTCGCGTGGACATGGCACCCCGAGCTGCTGACCTCAGGGAACCTGTGGCCTGTGACCTAGGTCCCAAACTCGCTGTGCACACTGGGACGCTCTGAAGACTCCGCCCAGCCTGCAGCTATCACTTGTCCTGCACACCACTCGGGTCCAGCACTAACGGGAGCCAGCAAGAGCCCCAGCTGCTGTGTCCGTGAAGCCCAGAGTCGCCCGACTCAGGAGGAGGCAGAGCCAGGGTGTCGGCGCACGGTTCCCCAACACTTCTCCAAGGCGAGGGTGGAGAGGAAGCAGGCGGAGACAGAATGAGCCAGCACAGAGCTGACTCCCTCTTTAGGGAAGAAGGCTTTTTAAGCCAGCAAGGACACAGGAAAGGGACCAGGCGCACACCCACCCTTCATCCTAGGGCTCTGGAGGCTGAGGCAGGAGGATCACTGCAAGTCAGAGGCCACCCTGGGCTACACAGTGAGTTCAGGGCCAGTCTGACCCATACAGGGACACCCTGTCTCAAAACCAAAACAAACAAACAAACAAACAATTTGGACAGTGAGTTTGGATACTGAGCTCAGGAACGCCAGATTATACAAATCCATTTGTTGCTAGGTTTTTGAGTGGCAAAATCATTAAGTGTGCAGTCCACAACTATTTTGTTAGGGTGGTGAGAGTTCAACAAGAGGATCCTGTGCACAGCACCGTTGCGGGGGAAGGAGGGAGGGGAGGAAGAGCAGCAGCAGCAGGAGGAGCAAGGGACCAAAGACCGAGTTTTCAGGCAAGCGGAGCACCCCTCCGTTCCAGTCTTCCTAACACCTCCCTGCGCGCACTGCCGGGCCTCCTGAGTCCGCGTCCACGCCTGTGTACGCGCGGCCCTGAGTCACGGGGTCTCCATCCTCGGATCCAACGCACCGCGCACGTGGGTCCAGCAGAGACGTCGGGAAGACGCGCTGGCTCTGCCGTGTTTCTCCTGCTCATCGTCCCTTAAACAGCAGAGCGACTACGCAGCGAGGCGAGGCGCGGTTTGCCCGCCTGGCGCAGGTGCAACGCGCGAGGCAGGGGGGCCCCACCCCGCTTCCGCCCAGGGACTTCCGGTCTGCAGAAGGCTGTGCCCCGAGGCGCCCGGGCAGATCACATGGGGCCCACGGAGCAGGAGTGTGGAGGGAGGCTGCCTGCGCGACACCAACAGTGGCTCTCGGCCACGGGAATCGACTTCCGTCCTCCTCGTGAGGACCTGCCGGTGAACACCCCGGCACTCATCACCAGGGTTAGCGGAAATCGCGGAGCTGAGCACCGCACCACATGCGCCAACCCGGACATGGCACCCGGCGCTCCCCTCCGCCCGTCCGCTCTCCCTGCGGCCTCACCTCCAGCGCCTTCTGCTGCAGCCTCTCGCGCTCCTCCTGCTCTTTGCCCACGAACCACAGCTCCCAAGGGGTCAGGCTCCAGGCCCCGCGCTCCACCTGCTCCTCGCGCGCCTCTCCCGGCTCCACCTCGCTGCTCGAAGAGAAGACACCCAGGCTTGGCCTCCAAGCTCTGCTCACAGCACTGCCCAGCTCCGCCTCCGCCACAGAAGCAAATGCAGCGCGGCCTTGATTATGCGTTTTGACACATCCACATGGATGGCGCACGCACAGACAAGTCATGAAAAGGAAGCGTAGCGTGTGCGTTAGTTTCTGCATCTTGCTGTGCTCCGCTTCACAAACCACGTTACTGGGCCTGGCGTGTGCTGCACGCCTGTCATCCTAGCACTCGGGAGGCTGAGGCAGGAGGATCACAGCTAGTTGGTGCCCAGCCTGGGCTACATAGGAAGATCCTGTCTCAGAAACAAAAGAGCAAAAGCAAAAGCTTACCAGCCGTCGGCCCCAGGAGCACTGGAAACTGGTCATCACAGTTCGCCCCTCTGGAAAGCGCCTGCCTAGTCCACTGCTCTGTGCAAGCTCCTCTGCCTTAGAAAGTCAGTTTACTCATTTTTTTCTGCCGCTGTTATTCATTCATTCATGTTCTTTATTTGTATTCCAGTGGGCAAGAGACACTGCTGATGTATTATTTCTTTTTCTTCTTGTTCTTTCAGGTATTAGGGATAAACTCTGGGCCTTCATACTGAGCTATATCCCCAACCCTTTTCTATTGGAGACAGGCTGGATTTGAACTTGAGATCTTCCTGCCTCTGCCTCCCCAAATGCTAGGATTCCAGGCATGCGCCACTAGCCTGGCTGGAACACCCTCATCTTCCCCACAGCCTCCACTCTCACTACTGGCCAAGCAGCCCAGGCCAGTACCTTCCGGCCGGGCCTCGCCTGGCTCCAATCCCCAGCGATGTGCTCAGCCATCAGGCCCAGGCAGCCACACCAGCTCAGCAATCTGGAGCCGGCTTCCGACAGCCCTGCAGACGTCCACTCGCGGACGCGCCCGGCCAGGCTGACGGCCCACTGACCCAGCTCACTGCAGGCCGCACCCGCCAGGCTCTGGCCCCGCCCCCGCCCCTCTCCCTGGCCTGCGTGGTCCCCACTTGCGCCTCACTGTCTCCTCTCCTGCCCGTGCTCACCCCCGCCAAGCTGCCCTCAAGCTGGCGTGGCGGAGGCCCCACTTCCATGCACCCTCCTGCCTCCTGCTCCCACCGCCAGGCTCTGGGGGCTCCGGGTGCCCGAGCTGCCCCCAGGCACTGGCCCTGTCCCAGCCCTGTCCCTGTCACCAGGGCGCAAGGCTGGCACCACGCCGGGGTCCACTGGCCCTCTGTGCTGGTGAGTCTCGCTGGGCTGTGTGCAGTCAGCGGCCTGGGGACTCCTCCCCAACCCACTCAGTGGGGCTCCTGAGGTTCAGGGACTCGAGGGCCTGGGTGGCCCCGCTTCTTCCCAGCGAATTTGGATCTGAAGGTTACAGCGCCGGCCCCTCAGGTCACAATCTCTGTGCTCACTTCCAGTCAGCCATAGCCCACCCCGCACCTACTGCAGCTCCCGGCCCTCCATGGCCAGCTGAGTCCTCCTCCTGTCCAGAGTCCACTGTTCTCTTGGTTTTTGAGCCTGAGTCTCACTGTGTAGTCCAGGCTGGTCTCGAACCCACAGCAATCCTCCTGCCTCAGCCTCCTGAGTGCTGGGATTACAGGCTCGAGATTCGATTCTGATGTTACCCCTACTGCCTGGGCAACTCTGCCGGACACCTGATTAATGACCAGGCCTTCCCGCCACTTGTCTACTCCGCCACAGGGCACGAGCTCCTCAGAGCAAGAAAATACAGCCTAAGGGCCAAGAGTCCAGGACACCTGAAGAACTCAGTCAAACCATGACTGTTTTTAACTATAGACACTTTGCACATTAAACCCTTGCTTAACATTAACAGATGTGTTCAAAACATGCAGCAAACACACTGTATTTCTACCCCTGGTCAAGAAAGACTTGATAAGCAGCCAGGACATTTATTAATGTACAACTTTCCTAATAATAGTAATTAAAAAAGAAAGAAAATAAAGCCAAGTGTGGTGGCACACACCTGTTATCCCAGTACATAGGAGGGTGAGGCAGGAGGATTGCTCAGAGTTTGAGGCCAGCCTGGGCTACGTTTTGAGTTCAAGGTTACTTTGAACTACAAAGCAAGACTGAAAGACTCCAGGAAAAATTCCTGTCATCATCTTGCCAGAGGCAAGCTCTGCAGTCCGCCTCACTGCAGCCGGCACTCTAGAAAGTCCCTGTGTCCTCCCCAGGTGCCACTGATATCCACAATACCCTGAACTCACTCCTCTGTGTGGCCAGGCCAAGAACACCGTGGGCCCTGGTGTCTGAGGCTGGAGAAAAGGCACAGAGCCCCGCAACGTGGCTCGTGCTCTGCTCTCCACCCCCCAGGGCTGCTCAGCCCCAGTCTCGGCTGGGTTGTGACCCAGGCCTCCTGCCCTCCTCCCCCACCCTCCGAAGTCAGGCACCAAACAAAGCTCAGGGGTGGGGAAGAGGGGTAAGGACCTTTGCTAAAGGGCAGAGTTCGAGCTGAGTTCCAAGGCATTTGCAGAAATCGCTGCATCCCCCCTTCTCCGGTCAGCACTGAGGACCATCTGGCTCCTGCCACCCACAAGGTCTGCAGGTTCCAGAAGTCCTGATTTGGGGATGAGGTAAGGAAGGCACCCACCCCCCAGAGTGCTGACCAGGGCTTTGGGGAGCAGGACACCGCTGCATCGCAGGGTCACGCACCTCACTCTCCCCTGGCAAAGCTCATGTGAGGTCTCCGCTTCAGGCTGCCCAACTGTATCCATTCGGCAGTCCTGCTGACTGTGCCCAGGGTCTCCTGAGGCCTTGAAATATACTTTAAAAACCCCTGGGACCCACTCAGTCCTGAAGACGCCTTACAATGGCTCAGAGGGAAAAGGACTCTCGAAGCACAGTGCTACAACTGAGTCCCATCAGGCCAGGCCTGGTGGGCCTCACCATGTACCTACCTCGATGTGAACCAGTGGCTTCCAGATCTCCGACCCCACCAAAGTGCTTCCTTCTGCCCCTTATCCTTAAAAGGCTCAGTTTGGGAAGCTCAGGCTTGGATCACTTCATAGGATTCCTCGGTCCGCTCACTCACTCTCCTATGAATGTCTCACACTGATACTGCTACAAACTCAGCACTCTGGAGGCTGAGGCAGGAGGATCAACAGAAGTCGGAAGCCAGTCTGGGCTCCCTAGTGAGTTCAAGGCCAGCCTGGACGACACAGTGAGACCCTGTCTCAAAAAAACCAAAATCCAAAACAAAACGCACCCAAAGTCCTGCAAAACACGTCGTCGTGGGTAAGAAAGGCCCCAGGTCCACAGGGAGGGTCGCGGGCACAGAGCGCCTTGGGAGGCGGCACCGCGCTCCCGGCCTCAGTTTACCTGTCGTGGCCCGGAGCCGCGGCTGCTCCGGGGCCGGTCCTCCGGGTCTCGAAGCCGGGGGCCTCTCCATCCTCGTCCCCGGCGCCCTCGTCGTCGCCGTCGTCGAACGGGAAGCCGGGCCGGCCGAGCGGGGACAGCAGCGACAGAGTGGAGCCGCTGCAGCTCGGGGCCGGCGACAGCGAGCCCTCCGCCGCGGCCTGTTCGCCCGACCTGAGGCCGAGGATGGCGCCCGAGGAGGACGGGCCGGGGCCGGGGGCGGCGGAGGACCGGGAGCGCCGAGGGGGCGACGCCGCCCAGCACCGCTCGGCCTCCTGCATCGCGCCCGCGTTCAAACCGACAGCCACGGCAGCGGCCATGCGCCTTCCCGGCAGGCCCCGCGCGCGCCGCCCCTGGCCAATCCGGGTCGCCGTAGGCCGCGTTGCCATGGCGACGCCTGGACGCCGCGAGGGTTCACTGTGGCAACGCAGCGTGGCTTCCCGGACTATGGCTCCTGCGGGACAGGCCGCAGTCCCCGCTGGCGACTTGGAGGGCTCGCTGTTGTTTTGCAGACTAGTACATGAAATAGGTTACCTGTCACTGAATAAGACAAATCCTTTTTTTAAAAGGGGCAGAGACAGAAGGCAAGAGTCCCCACTGCCGCTCCTCTGGGGTTAGCAGCAGTCGTGGTTTCTTTGAGCTGTATCTGCTGGGGAAGTGGAGAGAACACCATCCAAGCTTAGAGGCGCGCCTTGCGACAGTGGGCGCTTTGCCTGCACCTCGTCTAAGTGGGATTTGGGGCCTCTGTCAAGGTCCTAGTATGTGCCAAGCATGGACGGGGTAGATGATGTCCTTATATTCCTCGTCCTTTTGTGGTAAGAAAAAAATCATACAAATATGCTGTGATATGCATTTTATAAGTAAAGAAAAATGTTTGTGGGATCATGGGGGCGCTTTTAGGAATTGGGACGGGAATAAAGATAGCAAGGGAGAGGTGACAGATGAAGTTGGATGCTTTATCCATGCTGAGAAAATTGCATACGCTTTTAGACAAATAGGGATTTTGTCAGCTCATGATGCCAAATATGGTAGAAATATGGAGAAGTGAATATGGACAGTTGTTATAGACAGCTCAGCTAAATAGAAATATTGTAGGCAGTCAGACAGGGCTGGGCCCTTGAACACATGATGCTGTGGCTGGAGGTGCCCCCTGCGCGTCTGAAGATTAAAGTCACATTGGCCAGATTTGCATGCTTCCCCAAGGGATGAACAGAAGCTGGAAGGGCGGGGGATTCAGCTCAGTGGTTCCAGCGCCTGCCTCGCAAGGGAAAGGTCCTGAGTTTGATCCCCAGTACCAAAAAAAAAAAAGCTGGAGATCTTTGGCACCACCCTTTCGGCTTTCCCATATAGATAGACCATTATCTCATCAACCAAGGTTAATGACATCATCCATATGCCCTCCTTACTATTGGGACAAGACTACCTAAGTGACTGTACTTGTAATTTTATTGGTTCATTATAGTTTTTACCCACATTGTACCCACCCCCCGGTACCTGGGATCGAATTCAGGACCTTGCACTTGCCAGGCAGGCAAGGCACCGCTGAGCTAAATCCCTGGGGACTTTACTCTATAAAACATCCTTTGAGGGGCTGGGGATTTAGCTCAGTGGTGCCGCCGCCTGCCTCGCAAGCACAAGGACCTGAGTTTGATTCCCGGTACCAAAAAACAAAAAACAAAAACACGTCCTTTGAGAAGTGGGCCCATTGGCAACCCATTCAAGGCCCCTCCTGTCTCTCAGGAGCTACTTTTGTTCCATATTCCTATTCCCCAATAATCTTTCCTACTCTTAACCGCCACTGCAATGGCTAAAATGGCACACAGACCTTGTTACTGACCAAAGAGTGATACAGAATCTTTGATGAAATCTAGATCTGCCAAATTTGGCCTAGGACAATTAGCTACTGTAGAAACAATAGCAACCAGAGATGATTCAGAAGGCAGAAGCTTTCATGAAGTAAGGCACTCTAGTTGAGGGTGTAGCTCAGTGGTAGAGCGCTTGCCTAGCGTGTGCTCAGCCTTGGGTTCAATCCTCAGCACCAGAGAAAGAAAAAGGACATGCCTAAGAAATACTTAACGGAGCATTTTATTAAAATTTGTGTAACACAATGGAAATGGAAGGAAACTGGAGCAATCCAACAGTAACAAAACTGATGAAAGAAAACTGACAGTCGTTTTTCATTTTATGCATTGCTCAGCATGGACCAACCTGGTTAAAACCTTTCATCTGAACATCTATCTATAGGGTCATCGTCAACATCAAAAGGACCTGGGCTGCTTTGAGGCTTCACCCGGAGAGGAGCTTGTAGCAGGGTTTGTTGGTGCATGCCTTGATCTCAGCACACTGAGGCTGAGGCAGGAGGATTGTAAACTTGAACCCATTCGGGGCAACTTGAGACCCTGTCTCAAAATTTAAAATAAATTGCCAGGGATTTAGCTCAGGGCAAAAGCCCTGGGAGTTTGATTCCCAGTACTGAAAATAAAAAAGTTTGTGAAGCACATACACCTAAGTGAGGTGCAGCAGAAAAACACAGGTTGTAGCATAAACAGGCTTGGATTTGAGTCAGTGCTTTTATTTGATAAATTTCCCTAAAGAAGCTGTTTGATCTTGCCAAGCTTCCCTCCTCTGTAAAAATTGGAAAATAATCTGCCTCAGCCATGTTACCTCATTAATCCTCAATGCTTCCAGCTCCGGAGCTGATAGTGGGGGTAAACTGAGTCACATTAAATCCCAAAACTTGCCTACTTTAACCTCTTGGATCTATAATGTCCAACTTCCTTTCCTCAAGATATTTTAGTAGACAACCTATACCTACGCCCTGTCTTTGATGTTTCCTGCTCACCGTGACCAACAATGGCATCGCCTGCATCGACACTGGAGCCCGCGGGCCGAGGCAGGCACCTGGTGCTGGCATTGGTCTCATTGGTGCCTTCTCAACATCAGGGTGGGCAGAACTATACATAAATGTACAAATGAGCTCACAAGAGCGTCTCTCCCCTTTTGTTTGTTTTTGGACATAGGGTCTCACCATGTAGTTCAGATCACCATGTAGTTGAACTTACTTCGCAGCCCAGGCTGGGCTCGAACTCATGGTGAGTGAGTTTGCCTCAGCCTCCAGAAGTCTGGCATCACACCACTGTGCCGGGCAACTCTCCCTTAGGTTTTAGAGAATTGACTTAGTAATATGTTTTCTCACTGCTCATTAACCTTCACTCCCATGATCTATTCAGGATAATTTTTGCTAGCTCTGTAGCCTTTGGTAAGAGTGACTTTTACTTTAAAATCCACTCTGAAAGGCTGAGGCAGGAGGACAAGGTGGGACAAGCCTGGGGGACTTAGTGGGACCCTGTCTTAAAATTTTTAAAAACATTTTGAAAAAGATCCAAGGGTGCAGTTGAGTGCAAAGGCACTGGGTTCAGTCCCAAGTACTTTGAGAAGAGAGGAAGGAAGGGCCATATCGACCCGACTTTGTTAAAATAAAAATGAGAAGGCTGCTGCTGTCAGTCCTGTGGTGACACATTACCCAGCTTTGAGAAGCGCTTCCCTGGACAAGCTGAAGCTCAGCTGCAGCAGCGGGAGCTCTTGGCTTGCGCTGGGAATGATCCAAGCAGAAGCTTGGAGGTGACGATGGGACAGGATTTCCTATGTGCTGTGGAGAGCTGTCCAGGCGGGCTCGGCGGGGTGAGGGGTGATTCTATATTCTGTGGCAGAAACTGCAAACATGAATGAAGTCTGAAATCCACGCTGTGTCCAGAATTAAGAGGAACTGATTTTGGTAGAGATTTTCTTTGTAGGATTAGGGATTCTCTTCATTCATGAAACTCTGTGCTTTCTCATTTGTAGAATGAGGACTCAAGGACTGAGAACACAGCAACGGGCAGCTGGCCTGGTTTAGAATCATGCAGGGGGGCAGGGGCTGTCTGCTTTTGACACAAAGTCTCACTATGCAGCCCAGGCTGGCCTAGAACCCACAGCCCTCCTGCCTCAGCCTCCCTAGTACCAGGATTGGATCACAGGTGTGTGCCGCCATGCCGGGCTCATGCAAGTTTTAACCATTTGGTTTTAAAGAAAGATCTAATCTATGGTATTCTCTTCAATTTCACAATCTGTTTTCTGTGATATGGTCCAGACTTAGGATAAAACTTCTAAAATTTCAACACAGTGTTTAAATATTTATAGATGAGTATCAAAATAGCATTTTCTGGGCCGGGGATTTAGCTCAGTGGTTCTGCCGCCTGCCTCGCAAGTGCAAGGTCCCGAGTTCAATCCCTGGTACAAAAAAAAAAAAAGCATTCCCTAATGGTCATTTCCAACATTTCTTCTAATATTCTTTACAACTTTAAGTTGACTACATATTACTAAGTAAATTCACTGATATACCTAGCTCTAATTTAAGGCAAAATAGATTGCTTTCTAAAAACTTTAATAATTCAAAACACTGAGTACAATAGTGTACATGATACCATATGTGTAGCACAGTTTACCACACATTTTATGCATCTACTGTTCTATTTTTTTAGATGAATGAAATCAAAAGTTTCCAGTAACTTGAAATGTTAGGGAAAACAACTTTTAATTATGATTTTCTTACCAAGTTACGATTTAATATTTATCATATGTGTAAATATACAAACATGATAGCAGTTTTTAAAACTTGTAAATAGTTGTCCTTACAAAATTACACACCGTAAAGAAACCCCTCCCACATTTTATACAAACTACATGATTTTGATATACAAAGATTCTGTTTTAATTACACTGACAATGTACAACCAAGACTATTTACACTGCAAAAAAGTATATCAACCATGATTTATCATCCTGCTGTGGCAGCCACTCTAGGAGGTAGCTTTCATGAAATGAAATGAACAGAGACCACATTTCCCAACTTGTGTTCTAAAAATAATTTACAGAAGATAAAAATTCATTCTATGCACAGTATGTACAGTTTAATTATGAAACTGCAATCTAGCATCAATGCTTTAGCACATCCAGGGTAACCGACGTGGCAGTGGGTTTGCCGGGACCTAGCACACTGCTTGAAGACACACTGAGGAATTACAACTTTAAGACTCCACGTACTTGCAGCCAAAGCCCGTAAGTGAGAATCAAGTAAAACTCTTCATTTTAAAGGCATAGGACTAAACTTTTTCCCTTCTATCCATCCCATGACATATCTGTCTAACCAGAGCTCAGCATCTGATATTGGGGATGCTTTGTTTTTTGTGTGTGTGTTTTGAGACAGTGTCTCGCTACGTAGCCCAGGCTGGCCTTGACCTCAGAGCGATCCTCCTGCCTCAGCCTCCTGAATACTGGGATTACAGGTGTGCACCACCACGCGCAGCAGCATCTGCGTATTAAACAGGCTTTTTTGGAAATTAAAGGAAGGGGGAAATGTGTGGAAGATTCCATGTAACAGCCCAGGTCCAGGAGAGCCAGCTCACTAAGAAATAAATGCTTTGGAACATAATCACTCCTAGTTTCTTCCAACTGCATACACAAAATTACTTACCTCAGTTGACGTTCTGTGTAATTCAAACTCTAAACAGATGCCATACCAACAAAACCGGACAAGACCCAGACAGCCACTGGCACTAGGAAGTATTCATGAATGGGAACAGTGCCCCGCCACCAGACCTGTCCGGCATTATTAAAAAGCCCCACTTTAGGGGCCGAGGATTTAGCTCAGTTGTTCCGGCGCCTGCCTTCCAAGTACAAGGTCCTGAGTTCGATGCCTGGTACCAAAAAAAGGTGGGGGGGACCCCACTTTCAGTTTCTTCAAATCTGCGAGCTCACATCCATCACAAGCTGCTTTTTCCTCACAGGAAATTACGGTGATCCAAGTAGAGTGACCAAAAACAAATGTTCTGCCGTTACAGAATAAAACCTAACAGCTGTTAATATTGTTTTAAAAACATCCTCGGGTCTAAATCTGATTGATCCCAAGATGTAAATGGACCACAGTGAGAAGCCCCTGCTGGATCGGCTGTCCTGAGACTGATGGAGACACTTCACGAAGAATTAGCAAGACTTTTCTTCAGTTACATAAAATCATATTGTAAAGTAGTTTTTAGGCTGGGTGCGGCGACACACGCTGTCATCCCAGAGGCTGAGGCAGGGGGATATTAGGACATCAAGGCCAGTGTGGGCTGCGTCGAGAGTTCACGGCCAGCCCAGACTACACAGCGCGACCCTGACTCACCCACCACACCCCAAAACCATAGCTTTCAAAAATGTTAACAGCTGCTCTTCACCGTGTGCTGCATTCCGAAATGCTGTCCATGTGGTCCGCAGCGATCGGGAAAACGCACTGTCACGTCGCGCCTGCCGTGGAAAGTCCTTTTTGGGTTTCGTTTGTTTCCAACGGCCCCACCTCGCTTGGCCGCTGCATTTTCGCCAGCTGGCAGTCGGGCAGCTGCTCTTGCAAGTGTCTGCTTGGAGAAGCGGCACTGCCACAGCCCTCCCTCCTTCTGCGTGACCTGCTGGGCCCTGACCGGCCTGGGCCGTCACTCCCTGGCCCGGGGGAGGTGGTAGGCGTCGCGCACCAGCGGGAAGCCCCGGCTCTGGTAGAAGCAGGCGCGCCCGCAGGCCTGCACCTGCTCCGAGCTGTCGGAGACGAAGGAGTCCTCCTCGTCCGCGCAGTCCGAGTGCACCGACTGCGAGCCGCACTCGAACCAGTGGCCGTCGGGCCTGCGGCACGGGGCCGCGGCCAGCACCGGGCAGCTGTGCGCTTTGGCCAGGGCTCCGCAGGCCGGCGGCCGGGCCAGCAGGAAGGACTCGCAGCAGTCGCACACGGCCAGCCGGGGCTGCAGGTGGGAGCAGGCGCCGCAGTCGGGGTACAGGGCCCGGGCCCCGCGCCCGCCCTGGCCGCCTGTGGCCCCGCGCCCGCCCTGGCCACCCCTCGCCACTCGTCCCCGCAGCAGGGCCCAGTCCTCCCGGAAGCGGGGGTTGAAGAAGATGTGCAGGACCGGGTTGAGGCAGGCCGGCAGCGGGAAGAAGATGAGGGTGACGGACTTGGTGATCTCGGGGCTGACGGAGATGGCGGTGAGCAGCGGCGCGAAGGAGAAGAAGGCCACGGGGCAGAAGAGCACGCAGTTGGTGAAGATGAGCCAGGCCACGTGCCTGACAGCGCCCGCCCGCGCGCCCGCGGCCAGGGCCCCCTTCTCCAGCGAGCAGTAGAGGCGGGTGTAGACCACCGCCATGAGCAGGAAGGCCAGCGAGTTGAGCAGCACCAGCGTCACGGTGAGGCCCAGCGCGGGCGCCTCCCCGCTGGGGAACGGCAAGCACAGCGGCGAGGCCGAGAAGTCCGCGCCGCGGGCCAGGGGCACGCAGCCCGCCACGGCCGCGCCCAGGAAGGCCCCGCCCGCCGCCACGCGGAAGCGGCCCCGCCTGCCGCCCTTCCGGGTCCCCCGCAGCGCGTCCGCGGAGCAGCTCCTCTCCACGGCCGCCACGGTCAGCAGAAAGACGGCGCTTTCCGAGGAGAAGACGCCCAGGAAGCCGGCCACACGGCAGCCGCTGCCCGTCTCCCACCACACGCCGAAGTCCGAGAAGCGGCCCCAGGACACGGCGTCCAGCAGCGTGAGCACGCCGGTGTAGACGCCCATGAGCAGGTTGGACACGGCCAGCAGGCCCAGCAGCAGCTTGGACGGCGGCAGGGACGCGCCCGACGCAAAGGTCGCCGCGACGACCAGCAGGTTGGCGAGCAGGGCCACCAGGAAGATGAACCACACGGTGAGGCGGATCATCCAGCTGCCCAGCAGGAACTCGCAGGGCTTGAACGCGCCTGGGGCGAGCGAGAGGGACAGGTGAGGAGCACTGACAAAGCCGCACCTCCACGGTGACACCCACGGGAACGACCTCTGCGCCCGCCCAGGCCGTTCTCACCGCACCCACAAGGCGGCCCCCACCCCCCAGCACAGCCTGGACGCTCCCCGCCGGCAGCACCCCGCTGACCTGCGCCGCACGCTCCTGCTCTGCTTTGCTTTTTGGATTTTGGAGACAGGATCTTGCCCTGTAGCCCAGACTGGCCTTGAGCTCACAGCGAGCTTCCTGACTCAGCTTCCTGGCCGCCGGAAGACACAGGCCTGCGCCACCAGGGCCGGCTGACCCCCCAGGGCTCTGGGTTCCACCCTGATGCCAGGCTCATCCTGCGGCAGCCTGCTCACAGGGAACCTACTGCAGCCCACCGTTTAACCCCCACGGTTCATCTTCACTCAATTGAGCCCGCGTCTCCGGCACAGAGGGCGGGACGCGACGCCCACAGCACACTGTAGTCAGCTCGGCGACTTTCCCGGACTACCAGGCCAGGGAAGGGAATCAGAAAGCAAGGGAGAGGCTGCGCTGGAAACAACAAAGTGTCAAAAGTCACTGAAAGTCACTATGGGCCACTGGCATCCATGAGTCTGCGGGTTAAAAGGCCGCGCAGCCGGGCGTGTGATGGTGCCCGCCTGTCATCCCAGCACTGGGGAGGCCGAGGCAGGAGGATCACTGTGCGTTCGAGGCCGGCCTGGGCTACACAGCGAGACCTTGTCTCAAAAAACCAAGAAACAAAGCAAAAACAAAAAGGGAGCCTTCAGAAGGAGCCTCTCCCTCGCTGGGGAGCATAGACTGGGACCCAGGGTCTGGCCCACAGTCCCGCACGGTCACGCAAAGCCCCGCCCCTTGGCCCACAGAAAGCCCCGCCCGCGGTACCTGTGGCCGGCACGCAGTGGATGATGACCTGGCCGTGCTCCCGCTCAGTGCTGCCCGTGAGGTTCCCCGCATCGGCATCTGCACAGACAGGAGCCCAGGAGCCGCGTCAGCCAGACCACGGGAGACAGCCAGCTCCCTCCCGCCCAGGGCCCAGAGTGCAGCTCGGCAGCCCCGCGCGAGAGGCCAGGGGGCACCAGAAGGCCACCCAGCGTACCGCACCGCGCAGCGGCACTTGCCTGGCTCCTTGCTCCCGCCGTGGGCCTGCAGGTCGCCGGCCGCGTGGAGACTCGCGTAGGACTCGCAGCCCCAGAACGCGCAACACTGGTAGGCGTAGGGCACCGACAGGGACCTGCGGAGAAGCGGAGGCGGCTGAAGGACGGGCAGGCAGGCGGGGCCTGCTTTGTACAAAGAAGCGCTGCACTCTTGGAAGCCTGGTGCCCAGGCTCTTCCAGCTTCGACCTCCCAGGTAGGTACGAGCTCGGGAAAGCTCCGAAGAGGAGCACAAAGACACTACAGTAACTCCCTTCCCTTCTTAAAATCTGGACGCCACCCCAGCCCTGTCCAAAATTTCCTGACAACACCGCAATTTAAAGGAAAAGCTGTCAGGCTCAGTTTGTCACCAGGAACTGGCAGCTTCATTTAGCATGGATCTCCTAGGTTCCCGGTGACTGCCATTAAAGGAAGTGGTTTTGTTCATATCAACTCATTTGTTCTTTTCCTGTAACAGTATTCTCAAGGTTTCCTCCACCACAGTTAGTGAAGTCTATAATCTCAAATCTCTAGGAAGTATTACAACTTTACAGCACTGTATCTTTTTTTTTTTTTTTTTCCAAACAGGGTCTTGCTCTGCAGTTCAGGCTGTCCTTGAGTTCACTATGCAGCCCAGGCTGGCCTCAAACTCGTGACGATCCTCCTGCCTCAGCCTCCCACGTGCTGGGATTACAGGCATGCACCACCACACCTGGGTTAGCACTGCATCAGTTTTCTGTAGGTTCACATGTATGTGGCTTCAGGCGTCTTGTTGCTATTGACAAGTTCACTATTTAATAAATTTCTGATGATCAGTTATATGATTTCTTTGACAGCATCAAGAACTTCAGTTCACATTCTCAACAACTGCCGAGCATTGCTCATGTTCTATTTTTCACCAAATTTGCAAGAACAGAAGGAGAAAATATTCTTAAATTATAACCTACCAGAAAAATCTGGCACTAGGCAAAAAAAACACCCCAGAACACACTGTAATTTTAGAGGCTACCATAATTTTAACAAACAAACAAAAAAAGTCAAATAAGCAGAAACACACCTGAGATTCACAAAGTCTTTTGCGGCCAAGGCTCCCTTCAGTTCGAAGTTGCCCACCAGTTTCAGCTGGTTGAGCCCATTCAGGCCTTCCGTGGGGAAGGAAGTCAATGCGTTGAAACTCACATCTCTGAAATGCGAAGGAGACATCAGGTTAACTCCCAAGACAAACCATAAAGACATCTGTACACACAGTGACCTGCATGAGATCCCCAAGACGAAGGTCAGGGTGGGAACACGACAGATAGAGTCTTGCGAGCTGTGAAGCTGTTACCACAGCAATCGCTTTAGCATTTATGCAGGACATTGACTTGTGTGTGTGGAGCCCGAATGGCAGCGCCATTTACTGAGTCTGTACACTTACAGATTGGTGATTGCCCCAAGCTTGGCAAAAGCACTGCTGTGGACTTCGTGGATCCGGTTTCTACTCAGATCCCTGCAATTATAAGAGTAGCATGTTATCTTCCTACACAAACGCTCAACATACAGTCGGCCACAGAGGCTGCGACTCAGAGCCTGAGGCAGGAATGCAGTATCCCGCTAACGAGCGTCTCTGACTCCCCCACTGCTGCACTTGTTCAGCGCCCACCTCTCCCTTACAACAGTCTCTTTCTCAGAATCTGCTCCCCAGCAGCACTTGGAGCTGGCGTCTCCTTGGGAACAGTTGTGAATTTTCTCCACTTTATCTTTTTGGTACCCATTCAAAAATATAAGTGATACGATGTGACCTTGGTCCTCTGAGCCAGAAAGGACAAGAGCAGCTCAGGAAAAAGCAGAAAATAAAAACAGGTCTCCTGCTATTTGCCTTCTCAAGGGTTAGTGATAAGCCCCAGGGAGAGAAACAATCAATAAGCAAACAAGTGAATTCCGGGAGCCCAGATACCATCCTCCCCCAGGCAGGCAGGGAAAGGAGAGCCCGGCCGGCTGCGGCCCACGTGCGGTCGGGTGGGGCCCAGCACGTGACCGGAAGTCCTCAGCAACTGCAAGACACAGCCCGAAGGGAACGGAAAGGCTGGGCTGACCCTGCTGTAACTCCTCTCCTGGGTGATGGGGCCTGACACACTTGGCAGCAAATCACAGAAAAGACCAGGTTCTGGTTGTGACCCGTGACGTAGAAGGGAGGGTGGGGAGAAGCCGCCCGTTCCGGGGAAGCCTAACCTAAACGCCTCTCCGTAGTGCTAACCCTAACCACAACCCTAAAGCCTTAACCGTAACCCTGACCACAGCTCCTAACCATCACCATCACTAACCCTAACCCCGAACCAAGAAAGCCCGGGAGCTCCCTGCCAGCTCAGCATTTGCTGCACCGTGCCCGCTCCACTTCTCCTCTCCCCCTTCCTCTCCACCCAGAGCTCTGCGCCAGGCGGGTGCCCCACAGGGAGCCGCACCCCCCGCTGTAGGTTTTCCACAGGGAATCCACTGGAAAAGCAGGTCCAACGTACGGAATTTTCCTCGACTGCAAGTTTCACGCCTTTCTTCTACTGAAGAAGCCCATTCACGCAGCATCCCGTGCTTTCTGCACTAGAGCAGCTGCCTATGAAGGCAGCGAGGGATGCGTCCTGTGGGTCCCCTCTGTCCCCCAGACTCCCTGGGGTGCCTGGCGCATGCACGCCCTCGGAAATGGACCCCAGCACTGGTCAGCAGCCTCCACTGCCCACACTGTCACCAGGACGAGAGCAGGGCAGCCCCAGCCAGGCCCGCTCTGCTGGATGCGGCCGAACTGCTGGCCACTAAAGGCCTCGGAAGCACTGGAGCCCCTGGCCGGGCACAGCGACCCTCCGCTCACTGCCGGAGCGTCAGTGCCTGGCCTTGGGGAGGGCACCGAGAGCAGGTTCTGTGTGAGAACCACGTGGCGAGGATGGAGCCGCAGTGTCTGCATGGCACGCACACCCTGAGGACAGCTGCTGAGCTGAGCATCACCGGGATGTGCATCTGCAGTCTGATGCGGGTTTTGTTCTTAATAATCCCAGGCAACTTACAGAATCTGCAGGGACACCAGGCCTTGGAAGGTACCTTCTTTTATCTGGGAGATTTGATTGCGCTGCAGTGAGCTGAAAAAGAAGAGAGGGGAAGGGAGAGTGAGGGGATGGAGAGAGGGGGAATCACTGTCCTCTGTGTCAAGTTTTTCCTAGGTGTGAAAACCCGCTTGCAGAAAGCATCTCCACTTCCTCCTCTGTCCGGAAGCAGCTCCCCAGGTCACCCGGGCAGTGACTCCACGACCTAAGTTCCTCACGGAGCCTCCGTGGTGGGAGGGAAGAAGAGGACAGGCAGAGAAGGGGCCCGAGACCGCACGACCCTAACTAGCACGCCGGATGCTGAGGCAGGAGGATCCCCACGGGTTCCAGACCAGCCTGGAATACATAGTGAGACCCTGTCTCAAAACGTTTTTAGAAGGGGAGAATTCATGCAGCGCTGTCATCTCCCAGGTGACTGCTCCCAGCGCTGCCCCGCGGAGGGACACGGGACAGCAGTGCCCATGTCTGGTCCCTCAACAGCCAGGACCGCTTTTCTGCTCTGCTTTACTCTGCAGCCTCCCGACGGCAGCTACAGAAGGCCCGACAGACGGACGGACGGAGGCCCAGATAGACGCCGGCTGCGTGGGCGCACCCGCAGGATTGACCCTTTGCTTACAGGAAGCCTCATTTATAAGAACGCCCCCTTTCTTAACTCGAAAGCCACCTATCAAAACAGAAAACGCCAGTGCACTAACACACCTCAGCAAGAAGAGTGGGCCAAAGACCAACTTACATTTCCTCCAGGGCGCGGCAACCATTAAAATTGGGAAGGTCTTTTATATTGTTGTAAGACAAGTCCCTGAAAACGTCGAAAATTAACATATTAATGTCACGTTACCAGAAAACTATTTCATTTTATTTTATCTTATTTTATTTTCTCGAGACAGGGTTTGCCAATCAGGTCAGGCTGGCCTCGAACTCACTATGTAGCCCAGGCTGGCCTCGAACTCAAGATGATCCTCCCGCCTCAGCCTCTCCGGGGCTGGAATGACGGGTATGTGCCACCACAGCTGGCTTACTTACATCTTTTAAAACATGCATGTAAAATAAGATACCACAATAATTAATACTTGAGCTCACTGGAGTTTGCCCTCCAAAGTGGTTCCCCTGCTTAGGTCTGAGACTTGCTACACCACTTAATGACTTCCTTAGTTAATCAGTCACTCCTGCAACTGCTATCTCCTTCCACTGGATAATGATTAACACCTTAGTCCCCTAACTGTTTTGGTAACACTTTTCATTATTTACTTCAAACACCTAGGCCAGCTTAAAGGTCTTTAAACAGCAACATTCTATCTTTAGTTCATGCCTGGTTCAAGAATGCTTTAGGCTGGGCCTGGTGGTGCACACCTGTCATTCCAGCACTCAGGAGGCCGAGGCAGGAGGATCACCATGAGTTCAAGGCCAGCCTGGGCTACACAGCGAGACCCTGTCTCAAAACACAGAATCGAGGGCCGGGGGGATTTAGTTCAGTGGTGTCAGTGCCTGCCTGGCAAGCACAAGGTCCTGAGTTCGATCCCCGGTACCAAAAAGAAAAAAAAAGGAAAGAAAAAGCAAGCAAGTTAGCTTTAGGCTCTGCTTTGGTTATGGAAGAGGAGGGAGTCCAGGCAGAGAACCTGGTCAGGATGACCCTGTTGGCTGAAGTCATGGGACGTATAACAAACTGGACGCACACCCGACTGGGGAGGGCTGAAATGCCTGCTCACTCACAGAGGGAGCACCCACAGGGACAGGGAAGCCCGCGTGGGCCCCGGGCCTCGTGTGCGCAGGGAGAGGCCGGCGGCCACTTACAGCGTCCTCAGCGCCCGCTGCTCCTGGCACAGGCTGTGCGGGATGCTGCTGATCTTCGTGCCGGTCAGCGTCCTGCAGGAGGGACGCGCTCAGCGGGGCGGAGGAAGGGTCGCCCTGCCCCGGCTGCCTGTCCTGCGTGCCCGCGCTCATGCTGCTCGGCCTCGCACTGGGGAGCGGGACACTCGGGACGAAGCGGGGCGGTGCCCTCCGTGCTCACCGCCCACCGGCTGCCCAGGCCTCCGCAGCTTCGCCTCTCCCCCCGGCACAGGCACAGGTGAAACCCTGAGCACTCCCAGGGCGCCCCGAGCTCCGAACCCTACACCCTGGCTGCCAGCCTGAGGCAGCCGCCTAGGCCCTTCCCGGGAGGGAGCCAGACGTCACCGCTGTGATCCGCGCACAGCACGTTCACAGCTACACCTCGGAAACGGCCTCCGCGTCCACCAACAAGCATAAGGGACACGCGGTGATTACCCGGCTCCGCCGCCCTGCAGAGGGGACGCGGGTCCGGCCTTCTGCTCCCAGCGACCTCCCCTCCTTCTACACAGGCCGCAGCGCACTGCCCAACCCAAGCCCACACTGGCTCCGAGGGACGAGGCCCAGTGTCCCCGCCCGCACCGCCCCACACTCACAGGCTCTCCAGGCGCACGGTGCCCTTCAGGTTGGGGAAGCTCCGCACCATGGTGGCGCCGCGGATGACTCTGGGAAATTGCAGAGGCAGAGTCATTGCTAGAAACAATGTTTCCTTTGCTCTTTTTATTCTGTGTTATTTTGTTTTTCCTTTGTTTGCTTGTTTTTACTTTTTTTTTGAGACAAAGTCTCACTATGTAGCCCAGGCTGGCCTGGAACTCACTATGTAGCCCAGGCTGGCCTCGACCTCCTGGTGATCCTCCTGCCTCAGCCTCCCGAGTGCTTCGATCACAGGTCACACCACCATCCCAGCTGCCGTTTCATCTTTTAAACAGGTTGAAGCTACAGCAGCTTCAACCAGAGGGCTAACAACCACAGCTCGCTTCGGCTCTGAACCCACAGGAGAGCGAGACGTGCGTGAGAGCCAGCCAGGAGCTCACAGACCGCAAGACACGTTTCAGTCGGCCCGGCCGGGTAGGGTGTGGCGGGAAAGGGCTTCCGCTCCCAGAAGCTGACCCTAAATTCCTGTTTCCACCAAGGACTGCGTAGGCGTCTGAGCGCTTTTCGGCCTGCCGAGTACTCACAAGGAGTGCAGATCCGACAGATTCCGGAATGCTGCGGTCCCCACGAAAGACAGAGGGTTGTCGTACAAATGTCTGCAAACATGGGGCAGGTCAGGGCCGCTGGCGCGCCCACCCGTCCGCCCGTGGGCCGGTCCCTCCCTCCGCCCAGTGCCGGGACTCACACAGTCCGCAGCAGGGGGTTCCCACTGAACGCGCCGTCGGGGATGAAGGAGATAGAGTTGCCGTGGAAGCCGCTGCGGAGACAGGGCAGGGAGGGGATGAGGCGCGGGGTCACCGTGCCCAGCCCCACGGGCCCTGCGCTTGCACCCACGGACCCCGCAGCTCAGCCCGGGCACGGAGGCCTGGACTCCGCGGGGCTGGAGTAGCCCGAGCTCCTCTGCCCTCTCGGGCTGCCCCTGTCTCCGGGCCACGTGTGTCACACAGCCAGCGCTCAGCCACCACAGCCCCGCCCCCGCCTCCTCCACAGCCCGGGCTGGCCCCGACTGCTGGCATGCGTCCTGCCTCAGCCTCCTGGTGCGCGCTCCGCCCTCGGCACTCTCTACCTGGGAGTAGTCTGTCTGTGCTCCAGGGCCCAGGAGGCAGAGGCTGGCATCTGATCTACAGCCGCCCTGAGATCCAGCCAGCCTGTGGGGCCGGCCGTGTGTGCAGGAGCCCATGCGGGCACCGGGCCAGGCCCCAGCCTGGCCACCACCAGGATACTCAAGGCCAAAGAGGTCTGAGGGGCACTACTCACAGCTCTTTGAGGCTAGGAAGGGCTTTAATGGCCTCGGGAAATTCCTCCAAGTTATTATAGTTCAGGTCCCTGGAAGAGATGGGGAGGAGAGGTGAGAACACAGAACAGTGGTGGGAACTGCCAGGCAGGTCGCTGTAGAAGCAGGGAAGAGTGCACGTCTCCCACAGTCACTTTCTCATCAGCACACTGTCACGGAAAACCCGAAGGCTTTCACAGAACCACACCTTCCTGAGGCTGCCGAATAGAAACAAAAGCATGCTTCTTCTTCTTTTTTTTTTTTGGTACCGGGATTGAACTCGGGACCTTGCACTTGCAAGACAGGTGCCAGAACCACTGAGCTAAATCCCCAGCCCTATGCTTCTTTTGTTACACACATTTCAAGGCAGAGCACCCTGAGACTCGCATTGCTGAAAGAGGAAGCAAATCATCTAAATAGTATTTCATAGGAAGACTACATAGCAAGCCCTGTCTCCGAAAACCAGAAGGGGAGAGAAAAGAAACCAGAGGAGGACAAATGTGCAGGCGGGTGGTGGTGGGGGGGGGTCCTCTAAACTCCAGTTCTGTAAGTGTTGTAATGTCAATTTCTCTTCATATAAACAGCCAGAGCCAGTTAACATCAAAAGCCCGGTTCCTTTGCTGGCTATTTTGTTTCTCTTTCCTACACAGAAGAAAAACCAGCAAATAAAAATTAAGGCCAGGAGAAGAGATTTAACAGTGATACAGCTGAATAGCGGGCCTGGCCTGGCCTCCCAAGCTTTCACTGCTTTTCTGTAGGAAATACTATGTATCTCTGAACAAGGCACTAAATGCAACTAATACAAAGTAACCACAGAAATAAACATCTGGAGACTTTCCCCTGCAGCTGCAGTCAGGGATCTAAGCACTTAGCATGGAAACAAAATACAAAATGTGAAGCTGCCACATGTTAGCAGGGGACCGCACAGGTAGCATTCAGGCAGCAAACTCATTCAAACAAACAAGGCATCCAGAAGGCCCCGTGCCTGTTATCCTGGCACTCCGGATGCTGAGGCAGGAGGATCACCGGAGGTCAGGGCCAGCCTGGGCTACACAGTGAGACCCTGTCTCAACAACAGGACCACCCAGAATTCCACTGCAAGGCTTCAGGACGGCCACCCATCTAACAAAGTGAGTCTCTAGGAAGGTTGACGCCTGTGCTGGCCGCCCAGCTTGTGATCAGTATTCGGGGTGGGGAGCATCCACGAGCATCACAGGGACAGGACAAGCAATTTCCGGGAGGTCTGAGTCTGCACCAGCAGCTGGTTATCGGACGCTGCGCGCGTGAGTAAGGAGCCTCGCCCCGAGGACAGCAGCTTCCCTCCAGAGGCAGGGTCACGGGCGGCTGCCCAGGATGTGGACTGCACAACACTCACAAGGTCTCCAGGTTGTCCAGGCCGTGGAAACAGTGCCGACTCAGGTTTCTGATCCTGTTGTTGTGCAGATGCCTGCGGGAAGAGAAGCAGCAAAGTGGCTTTCACCCCTCACAGCCACCATTGCCACTGCTGTCAACGTCGCTGTGGGGCCAGGCAGGGTGGGAAGTGATGCACACCAGCCTCCGGTTTGTTTGATACCAGGGATCGAACTCAGGACCTTGTGCTTTTGAGGCAGGTGCAGTGCCACTGAGCTAAGTCCTGGCCCCTTTGGTTTGTTTGTTTGTTTGTTTGTTTGTTTTCTTGGTACCAGAGATCGAACTTGGGTCCTTGCACTTGCAAGGCAGGTGGCAGAACCACTGAGCTAAATCCCCGCCCCCCCTTGGTTTCTTTTTTGAGACAGGATCTCACCATGTAGCCCAGGCTGGCCTCCCTCTGCCTCAGCCTCCTGAGTGCTGGGATGACAGGCAGGTGCCACCATGCCCGGCTGAAGATCGCTCAGATCCACACAACAGTTAATTTGCTTGGAATTTATAGGAAGCAAAACACTGAAAAAAGCAGGCGTGGTGGCTCACAACTGTGATCTCAGCACTCGGGAGGCTGAGGCAGGAGAATCGCCATGCTGCACAGCGGGACCCTGTCTCCAAGGCCCCAGGAGGATGCAGCAAGGGGGCGGCACTTACAGCACGACCAGGCTGGACAGGTTGGTGAAGGCGAAGTCGGGGATGCCAGAGATCCTGTTCAGCGCCAGGGTGAGCGCCTGCAGTGTGGGCAGGTTGCTGAGCGGCCGCACCGGCACCTCCGCCAGGCTGTTGTCGTCCAGCCACAAGTGCCGCAGCTGCACCAGGCCCTCGAAGCTGTCCTCAGGCACCGCCGCGATGTGGTTGGCATCCAGTCGCCTGCGGGGAGAGTGCGCTCAGGACGGCCCCGGGCTTGGACCAAGAGGGGCGGGAGAACCAGGAGGCTGAGGCAGGAGGATCCCCAGAGCTGGGGCCAGCCTGGGCTCTGCATCGAGCCCCCTCCCTAGAACGACAGCACCAGCACCAGGGGCACCTTGTGCAGGTTCCCTTGGAGCCAATGAACCCCTGGAAGTCGGACGTGGCCCCAGAACAGCCCGGGCCACTCTGGCTCTCGGTTGCCCTGGGGAACCGGGTGTGAAGTCACTACTCCTGTTCAAGGCCACCACACCCGGGGATGACCCCGGAAGACTGAGGACCAAAAGCACTGGCAGGAATTCCAGAGATCAATGGCCTAGAGCAGTTTCAGCTCCCAATTCTTAGCCTGCTCCATCCTATTCCCCTCCAGCCAAGCTGCAGGCTCCTACCCCAACTGCCTGGCCCCAACCACAATGTCCACCTGGGCGATTAGCAGCGATTAACAGTCCCTGTCCTGGGGCCTGAAAGGAGGCACTTTCTGATGGGGCCTCGATAACTGCAGGAAGGCCAAAAGGGAGAGCTTGGCTAACTGAGCTGCCTCAGCAATCCATCTAGAGATATTTTTTGTTTAATTTTGTTTTGTTTTTAAGACAACATCTCAGGATGTAGCCCAGGCTATCCTTGAACTCACCACAATCCTCCTGCCTCAGCTTCTTGAGTGCTGGGACGACAGCCTTCTGCTGGCATGACGTTCTTAGACTTGTATTCTTTAGGTGTCTGGAATTTACCTCCAAAAGAGGTCGTCCTCATCTGTGTAACAGCTGGCAGAGTGCCAGCAACAGCCCTAATGAACTCACAGGACAAGCCACTCAGGAGGCTGAGGCAGGAGGATTGCCAGGCTGAACTACATAGTGAGACCCTGTCCCCAAAAATAAAACAAAATGCTATTAAGAGGGAAAGTTGTCCACACTTTCGTACCCTAAATCGTGTACAATCTTTGTACACTGTTTTCACACTCTTCGGGATTTTGCGGGCCCACGGTGGGATGGCCAGGGCATCCTGGGGTGGGGAGAGCCCCTTCCAGATCCAGGACAGAGCTGCACGAGGGCGCAGGGAGCGGACAGCCGGGCCGCCCCAGGAGGAAGCCCCTCTGCCTGGGTCGGCCACACCCAGCCTCGGCAGCGGGCGAGGAGAGGACAGACTTTCTGGGCTCCCTCGGGTCATCCACGACTGAGGCCGCGCACAGGGAGACAGATGACTGCTAGCTTTGTCTTTTGTTTTTTGAGACACTTGTCTTTTGTCTCGACATGTAGCCCAGACTGGCCTGGAACTCTTAGCAATCCTCCTGCTCCAGCCTCCCGGGTAGGGTGCTGGGATGACAGGCATGCGCCACCACGCCCGGCTAACAACTATTACTTTCAAGCGCAGCTTTACTGTGAAGAGCTTGGCAGCGCAGTAACTGCATGCCCTTCTTAGTCTTGAGAATGTGCTCCCACTCCTGTTCTCCCAAGCTGAGCTCACCTCTGAGACGCACATTATTCTTAACTTCTTATCTTAAATAAAATTACAATAACAAAACAATACCACATGCTGATAATTACTGCTGAAAGTCTGTTATCCAGCGGGCATGGTGGGTGGCTCAAGCCTGGCACCCCAGCACTGGGGAGGCTGAGGCAGGAGGACCACCATGAGGTTCCAGACCAGGGTGCCTGGACACATACTGAGTTCAAGGTCTGGACTCCTTAGCAAGACCCTGTCTCCGAAAACCAAAAATAAATCAAAAGAGAAAGGCTGTGGTCTCCATATACAATAAACACTGTGTAATCAAAAGGTCTCTTTTTCTCTCTTCCTCTAACTTACAATAAGGGAAACAGCACACTTATAACCATACCTTTGAAAAGAGTCTACGTGAAACTACCTAACCCTACCTCATTAGCTGTGGTGACCAACGGCTCCTTACATTCCAGAATGTACCACCTGTGTAAATTGAGCTACCTTCTCTTTCTTAAATTTTATTTTTTTTCTGGGATTTTGTATATTAAACCCACCTACCATGTTCCCTTGGAGCTACCTCCCTAGTTCTTTTAAAAAATATTTTAATTAAAAAAATTTTAATTTTGAGGCAGGGTCTTATTGCTAAGTTGCCCAGGCTGGGCTTGAACTAGTGATTGTCCTGCCTCAGCCTCCAGAGTGCTGGGATTACATGTGGGTGCCCACCAGCCCTCAGCTTCTACCCTAAACTTCTAGTTGGACCAGAAATTCAGGGGCCCGATATCCTGGCTACTCCTTGTTTATGACAGCTGTGATGTAAAGTTTAACTTTTACAATATGTATTTTACGAGAACACATTTTAATTTTCACATTCACTTCCTATTTAACGACTGGAATTTCTCAAAAGAACTCCAGCATAACTGGAACCATGAAACAGGTTTGTCCAGTTTGGAAGCTGCACCATCCTTCCTAGCTGTGGGTTGGGAGGGTTGTTTAAAATCCCCCAAGGTCATGGGCTCCGCAGGCAAGCGAGGGCACTCGGGGCTTGTGCGGAAAGCCAGGTCTTTGTACGTAAAAAATCAAGAAAGACCAGCAGGCCATTTAAGAAGCTTTCGAAATCAGTGGCTGCACATGGTAAAAGCCAAGAGTTAAAACCTTGTGCGTGCCACATACAATCAAACTTTCTTCAAAAAAGAAAACTTGAGGGGCCCAGCCTAGAGACACCTGCCTGCCATTGTGACACTCGGGAGGCCAAGACAGGAGGACCCCTGTGAGTTCCAGGTCAGCTGGGGCTACATAGTGAGTTCAAGGCCGGCCTGAACTACACAGTGAGACCCTGTCTCGGGGGGCGGGGGAAGGGGCAGCACACCATGTCCGATGAGGGGCTACAATCACTCTTCACACTGTCGTTACCAGGCACGAGGTACCACAGGTTCTTTACAACTTAACCCTGGGCCGCCCCCGCATGGTCCCTGGACACCTGCAGGCAGCTCCCTCCCAGCACCTCCTCTCCCCACAGGCGCCCTCCACATGCCTCCCTCGTGGCCAGGGCGGGGCTACTCCGGCTACTCACAGGGACTGCAGGGCACTCAGGCCCCGGATGGCCTCACTGGGCACCGTCCGCAGCTGGTTGTTTTGCAGGGTGCTGCAAGGCAATGTTTGCTCAGTAAGTAATGAGCAAGCTTGGCTTTGTTTTTCTCAGAAGACTTTGCAGCCCTTTATTTTCCCCAAAGTATTTCTGATGCCAAAAAGAAAAGGTGGGAGTAGCAGTGGAAAGCACCCAAGATACGAGCTGCAAAGAAGCCGGCTGCACTGGCTGCAAAAGCAGAGAGGAAACTTCAGCTGCAGCCCCAGGCCGCCGCCTCACATGCCTGCTTCGGGGCTTGGGGGTTTTAGGCACCCTGGTTCATGCCCTCACCCAGCGAACTGCTTTTTGTTTTATGTGTTGTTTTTTTTGAAACAAGGTCTCACTACGTGTTTCAGGCCAGTCCTGAACTCATTGTGTAGCCTAGGGTGACTCTGAACTCACAGTGATCCTCCCGCCTCAGCCTCCCACATGGTGGGATGACAGGCGTGGCCCCAGCCCGGCTCTCCTTCACAGTGCTGACCCATTCTCACTGGGACACAGCGGAGCCAGCGACCTGGCCACATATCCGGGAGACAGCAGCAGTGGTTTGGTGCAGGACTGGGGTGGGACAGAGCCCTCCCCACACGGGGTCAGGCCTCTCAGGACAGCGGGTCAAACACTGCATTTCTGCCCCAAGCCTTCGCCTTCCTGCTGACAAAACACCTGCCGACTCAGAGCAGAGCAGTCTGCGTCTGTCTCGGAGACCTTGCCCTGCCCGCCAGGTGCTGGCAAAAGCGCTGTGGGAGGGGAGGTTGGGCCAGCTGCTCCTCCCGTGACCGACTCTGACCCGCTGGACTGGGGAGTAGGAATTCCTTTCCTGGCTCCTCCTTGGCCATAAAAGCCCAGGGTCTCTGCCCCTGCCGCCTGGGGCTCCCGGAAGCCGCCAGGCCTACACCTCACCTGCAGCTGTCACCCGAGGTCACAGGCATCCCTTTCACAGCTTGAACTTTTGTCATCCGGGCCCAAATCAGCCGGGCCTCCCCCACCGCCCAGCCACTCCTTAAATCTTTTAATCCCAAGCTGAAAGAAACCGGGCTCACCCGGCTCGGAGCACATCGGGTGCAGAAGGGGATACAGGCCCAGCTGCGCGACACGAAAATTGCATTACTTACAGGACTTTGAGCTCTTTCAGCCCGGACAAGGCCTTCGGGTCGATAAAAGAAAGTTCGTTGCCAGCCAATTGTCTGGGGAGGAGCAGAGAGAACAGAAGTTCAGTCCTTGCATTCCGCACCGGCCATCCCGTCAGTCGCCCCTTGCTGCGACATCTCCCAGGGACATCGGCCAAGCGACACAGGCTCTCTGCAGCCCACCTCATCCTGGCGCAGGCCCAGCTGTATCTGTTCCGCAGGGACCTGAGCCAGTTGCCTGCCACCTCCACAAAGCAAGGAGCGCGAGCTCCCCTGCACAAACTCAGGGTCCTTGGGAGAAGAACTGTAAATGAAGGCCCCTCTATACACTCTGTCTTTTGGGACAGCGTCTCACTATGTAGCCCAGGCTGGCCTCGAACTCGAAGTGATGCTCCTGCCTCAGCCTCCCGAGTGCTGGGATGCCAGGTGTGTGCCAGGAGGCCCTGCATTTATGTTTATAGAGGAAGTGCCTTCCTAAGGACGTCGTGAAATGGCAGGTTTAAGTGCAGGAAGAGTGGAGGAAGGAAACGATGTGAATTCTTGGGGTCTATCGGGGGTGGGGGGAAGTCGGGGTGTGCAGCTCACACAGAGCCCCAGCTGCCTTCCAGACTCCAGCCACAGAGAAACAGGGAGAAGAGATAAACAGAGACATGAGGGGGAAGCAGGAAGTGGGGCCCTGGCAGCCCAGTGTGTGCACAGCAAGCAGCTGGGGTCCAGGCCAAACCCAGGGCTCCCCGGGCCTCGGTTCCCCCAGAGGGGCTTCCAACCTTGAGTCCAGAACTGCAGCTTTTAAAAACTGCTCTCTCCCTTCAGGTGTTGGGACCATGGGGTTCTGAAGCCCTTCTCTAAAATTCCCTCCCTAAAAGGGCTGTGCCGGCCTGTGATCCCAGCACTCAGGAGGCTGAGGCAGGAGGATCCACAGCTGAAGCCCAGCCTGAGCACCCCAGGGACTCAGGGAGACCACATGGCAAATAGATGTTTGAAGGCCCTGGGTTCCATCCTCAGTACCAAAATCAATAAACCAATAAAAAATAAAATTCTGTATTTAAACTTTGCACTGGAGAGGCTGAAGCAGGAGGATCACCAGGAGTTCAAGGCCAGCCTGAGCTACATAGTGAGAGCGTCTCAGAAAACCCCCAAAAGCAAAACAAATGAAAGGATGCAAAGATGTCCTTGGAGCTGCTGAAGTCCTCTGGAGACGGCGCCCCGAGAGGAGAAGGGAGCTGAGAAGCCAGAGGGGGCCTAGGCCCTGCGTCCCCGCACGGGATGCCCCGCCCCATTGGGTCCCCGCTGCTGCACAGCGGCAGCGCCTGTGCCACCCGCCAGGCTCTGCGGCTGCTCCCTCTCCCAAGCACGGCACCTCGGTTCCTCATTCGCCTCTCCCTGCCCTCCATCTCTGGCCCCCTCCGGTTTGCGGAAGATCATCCTCCTACTTCCATCGTCTACCTTTTATTTTGCTCTTTCATTTATTTATACATTTGGTTTCTCATATAAAAGATGTGATATTTAAGTTCGTGTATTTGATTTCTTTCCCTTAATGTTACGAACTCGAGGTGCATCCAGTTTATCCTTCTTTATGGCAGTGTAATACTCCACAGTGTACAAACACCACACTGTCTTTAACCGCTCATCTGCTGACGGACATAGAGGCCGCTTCCCAGATTCCGCTATGATGAGCTGTGCTGCTGTCAACACGGGTGTGCACGGGTCACCCGTCACCGTGACACATGTCTTTAACTCCTTCAGGAAGACACCTAGGAGTGGGATTTCCGGTTCCGGTTGCCTGAGGGGTCTCCACGCAGATCTCCCCGGGCTGCGCACTCTCACCCTCCGCGTTGTGGGAGTGGGAGGAGCCCTCCCTTCGTCCCTGGGCCGCTGCTTTCCTCCCCCGGGAAGCGCGCACCTCGAGGGCCGCGGCTCCGTGCTGGGGCCCCGTGCAGGTCCCTCGTCTCCTGCGAGTCCTGCCCATGCCTGGGTCCTAATGAGCTTCCTCCCCGGAGTCGCTGCCCCGTCCGGCGGGACCGGGTCTCCTCCAGGGCCCCCCCGCCCCCCAGCAGTCTCTGCAGAAGACCCCAGACCCAGCCGGCTCCACCCGGCCCCAGCTGGCTCCACCGCACGGCCTCTCTCGGAGGTGACTTCTCCCCCGCGAGTCACAGCCGTCAGCGCCCTTGGACGCCCGGAACCTTGCAGTCAGGCGCTGCTCAAGATACCCACTAGCAGAGCGGCAACGGCCTCTTCTTCTTTTAGAGACAAGGCCTCGCCGTGCAGTCCAGGCTGGCCTGGAACTTGCAAGGATCCTCCCGCCTCAGCCTCCCCACACCCCACTGTTTATTTATTTGTTTATTTATTTCGACCTGGAACCCAGGCCTCCTGCCCACCAGGCAAGACCTCTGTCCCCATTAAAACTGGGAGTGAACATTAATACATGGTCATCAAATGATGCTCGTGATAGAGAAAATACCGAAGGCAGAAATGAAATGCAGCGAGCACCTAATTCTTCGCCCACACGGGACAGTCGGCACACTGCTTTTTCCGAATGCTCTTTGAAGAGCGACATCAACACTGGCTGGCGTTTGCACAGCGCTGGGGGTGGCTGTGCTGCGCGCTGTCTTCCAGGGGGAGGATTATTCCCCTCACTTCACTGACCAAAAACAGAGAGAAGGAGCAGAGCAAAGCCGAGTAATTCGACCCTGCTCACAAACTGCAAAGTGGCGAACAATCTCCGCAGCTAGGCGGTGTGGGAAGGGGATTAACTCCTGCTCTGGCTCCTTCAACCCGAGCCACCCTCCAGCCCCGGCAGGCAGGGCGGGGACACACCGAGGGTCGGCCGTGTCTGGCCCAGGGGAAGGGCAGGGGGAGAGGACAGCATGTGGGCCTCAGGACGCATCTGCAGCAGGAGTGGGACCTCACTACGGAGCCCAGGCTGGCCTCAAACTTCTGAGGATCCTCCTGCCTCAGCCTCCTGAGTGTGGGATTACAGGCTACACCACCTCGCCCTGAGGTCACCTCATCCCTCCGGGTGGATGGAGCCAGCAACTGGCATCTACAGGCCTCTATTATCTTGCTCAAACCTCATGTTATTTTTTGGACAGGTTCCTAAAATAGAACACTCCCTCTCTGATTCCTTTATAAGCCAAAAGTGAGTATTTTGATCACGGACCTGAAAAAGCAGGCAGGAAGCACAGCACGATGGAGGTCAAAACAAGCAGAAGAAATATCCCACCCTGCAAGCTGTTTAACTAAAGTCCAGCGGCTTCCAGGTGCTATGAGGGGACCCCGGGCACTGCATCACCTGGGAGTGAGAGGGGCCTCGAGGCCTTGGCTCGAAGCTGCAGCCCTGATTACGCTGCCTCAGAAACAGCCCCCAAAGCGCGGTTCCTTCTGCTTGAAGCCCAACACGAGGGGCTGCGGGCTGCGGGCTGGGCTGGGCCAGGCTGGCTCTGCAACTCCAGAGCAAACTTACAGCTCCTCCAGGAACGGGGAGTTCTTGAATGCGTCTTCCGGCAGCTGGGTGATGTTGTTCATGCTGATGTCCCTGCAGAACACAGGGGAAGAACATCCTTACCTAAGCAGCAGCAGACTTCACGCTTTGCTTCTCCTTCTGGGTTTTCAGAGATAGAGTCTCTCGAGATGGAGCCCAGCCTGGCCTGGAACTCGCTGCAATCCTCCTGCCTCAGCCTCCCGAGGGCTTGGATCACAGGTGTACAGTACCAGGCTGGAGTCTTAATCACTGAGTCTAGCAGAAAAGCCACGGAGGCCTGCAGGTGGGGCTGCAGGTGTCACCGGGGGGACAGCAGTGTGGGAGTGGCCTGTGGTCACCCCGACGCCATGCGGACAGCGCGCTCACAGGACACAGCAGTGGCATCCCATCCCCGTCCCTCAGATCCTATTCCCGGGCCTGGGCCCTCAGTGGCCCCCAGACACGGCTGGGGAGCTCCCAGGCCCGACTTTCCCCGACAGCGAGGGGTGGTCCCTGGCCCCCCAGCACTTGGGAAGCAGAGGCGGGAGGATCCCGTGCATTTGAGGCCAGCTGGGGCTCCATAGTGACCCTGTCTCTCTCACACACACACACACACACACACACACACACACACACACGGAAAAGGCTGCGGGTACTAATGCTGAGGCATCCACAGAGTATAGTTACTAAAGGAAGTTTTGGGAAGACAGGAAACTCTGGAGACCTTGGGCCGACTGCGGAGGTTGGAAGCTGGGGTCTTTTCCAGGCGCATTTGTTTCCTGACAGTTAAACCCGAAACCAGAGGACAGCGCACCTGTGACATCTCCACCCGGCAGGGCCCGGGGCAGAGGTACAGCCTGGGGAGAGGACACTGGGTGGCTGCAGCTCCCTCTCCACTTTCCAGTCCAGGGCTCTGGTGGGTGGGTGGGGCAGGCCCGCAGTCCCTGCACTGGGAGGCTGAACCAGGAGGATCACAAGTTCAGAGCCCAGCCTGGGCCATTTAATGACTCAGCGAGCCCCGGACTCAGAAAGAAGGGGTGGGCTGGGTGGAGGCCTGGGGTCGGTCCCTGAATAAAAAGTAAATAAAGTCCACAGTGCACAACTGTCTCACGGAAACGGCAAGTCTGCCTGCGGTTAAACCCTCAGCTTTTTTCCCCATAAATTCCCTAGCGCTGAGGTCGCTGCAGGCGGGGACAGCATCACGTTCGTGTTCCAACAGGACACTTTTAAACCTCTGCAGGCGCCTGAGCAGCCCAACCTGTCTGTCCACAGCCGGCCGGGCGCACCCCGTGCCGGCCTCCCTCCACAGCCATTGCATTCCTGCTGCGCTGGGGCGGAACTGGGAGAAGCAGGATTCCCTCTGTGGTGTTTGGGTCTTGTTTGTTTGTCTTAGTGAGACTGGATCTCACTATGTAGCCCAGGCTGGCCTTGAACTCCTGGCGATCCTCCTGCCTCAGCCACCCGAGTGCTGGGATGACAAGTGTGCACCACCATGCTTGGCTTCATCATGCATTTAAAGAGCTGTTTCCAAAGCACCCATGGTCAGAGAATGTGTAAGGCACCACTTCAGGGTCAAACACAGGCTGATGGTCACTGTCACACAGGAGGCTGAGGCAGGAGCATCGCCGAGTTTGAGGCCTGGGCTACAGAATGAGTTCAAGGCCAGCATGAACTACACCGCGAGACCCAGACTCAAAAACAACCCACGTTAAGACAGATAAGAGCAAATCGCCTTGGAGAGGACTTAGCGAGCCCTCATGAACTCACTGTGTGCACAAGGCCCGGCTGAGTCACCATCCTGACCACGCGCACGGCCAGCCAGTGCCAGGCCGCCCCACACCAATGGACACACGCAAAATGCTAACTTTCCTGCCATCAGAAATGAAGAACACTTACTTCATCTCTGGATCATTTTCATGGGCTAAAACCTCTATTTTGACAGCTTTTAGCATTTTTCCATGAAAGACTTTCCAAGCTGAATGGGCACTGTTCTGCAGAGAACCCCAGCCGAAAGACATTCGGTCTGCAATCCCAGCTCCGAGGAGCCTGAGGCAGGAACATGGCAGGGGTGAGGCCGACCTGGGATACACAGTGAGGCCTTGTATCAAAACAAAAATAAAGGCGCAAAAGGACTGGGGGGTGGCTGAGTGTACAGCGTCGGGGGTTCGACCCTCAGAACCAAGAAAGGAAGGGAGGGAGGGGAGGAAAATGTGATGAAGATGGAAAGAAAATATTTGCAAAACACAGGCCAGATCCTGGAGTGGACAGAAAGCTGCTTCACACTCCTCACTAAGCACATGCACGAAATGCCGAACAACCACAGGGCAGGTGGCTGAGAACACCAGGGCAGGGCAGAGTGTGGCGACCCAAACCACACAGCCACAGAGCAAGCACTTTGGAGAACAAGTGGGCAGCTTCCTATCAGGTGAAACGCACACTAAGGAGCAGAGCACATGACCCAGCAGCCAAAGTCTAAATAATCTATTTAAATGAGAAACAATTGAATGTCTTCCCACTGGTGCCTTCAGGAAGACGTTCCGGTATATCTATCTCATGGAGTACCATGCAGCCATGAAAAAGGCAGCCAGGCTACTGCAGAAATGTCATGTAGCCATGAACAGAACAGACAGGCTACTGATAATGTGAAAGTGCATGGACAAAGTCCAAATACCTCACGAGGAGTCAAGGAAGCTAGATGCAAAGGTGCAGCTCCCGAGAGCGTTAAGGCAGGGCCGGGGCCGTCTAACGAGACAGAAGTGGGATGGAATCACACACAACTGCAGGGGTTTTTTAAAGCTTGGATTCCATATTAAAAGTACAAACTTCAGGTGTAATTCAAGCCTTACTACCTGCGGCATCTTTTTAAAACACCAGTGTCCATGATAACACAAGCTCCTCCCGCCCCTGGGTCCCCTCTGAGAGCCCTGCCTGAACCAAACACAGAAACAAGATGTCCTCGGCCCTAGGGCAAGCTACACTGCTTTCTGCTTTGTTTTGGTTTTTTTTGTTTGTTTGAGACAGGATCTAGTTATGTCACCCAGGCTGGCCTCGAATTGTGGCGATCCTCCTGCCTCAGCCTCCTGAGTGCTGGGATGACAGGCAAGTGCCACCACGCTCTTTAAACAGACTCACCCTCAAGCGCATGATCCCTCCAGTGAGAAACTATAAAATGTTCTAACCTGGCAGCAGTGTTTATTAAACGGCAGAGAGAAATGAAGCTTCGGGCACTGACTGCTCCCCCTTCTGTGGGCGACCCAGCACCCAGCACCCGCGGCCGTGGCAAAGCAGGGTAACCCGGTGCTTCATCCCCTGCCCCCCGAGCTGTGCCTGCCTCGGAGGGAGAGAGGGAGCCGACATCCCCAAGGCCCGGGGTCCATGGCTCAGTGCCTGGAAGACGCGGCTGCAGCCCCGGTCCCTGAACACCTGAGCCACGTGGTGCCCAACTTCGGCTCCCAACCAACTACAGGCTTCGAATCCTCCTCATGAACAGGGGCGGCTTTCCCCTCCAACTGTACTAGGAAAGGCAGAACTGTCGCCCTGTGGCCAGTGTGGCACAGGCAGGGACCGGCTGATCTGGGCGGGGGAGCTGAGACAGGGTCTCACCGTGTAGCCCAGGCTGGCCTCGAACTTTCCTGGATCCTCCCGCCTCAGCCTCCCGAGCCCTGGGGTGACAGCGCCAGCCACAGCACCTGACGGCCCTGTCTTTGTCTTTGTCGCAGGTCTGCACTGCTGTCCATGAAACAGACTGAGAAGTGGGACTCCTGACTCCTCCACCACTCGGCGGCGGAATCCCAGCTGTCCTCCCAGCTCTGCCCGCGGGCCCAGCGCAGGTGAAACTCTCCAGGACTTCGTACTTCAGCGACGCAGCTCTCTCCATGGAGCAGCAGCGGGGTGAGAGAAAGCCTGGGTCCCGAGGTTACTTAAAAGATGTTCTAGCAGGACGTGGTGGCCCACGCCTGTCACCCCAGCACTCAGGAGGCTGAGGGAGGATGGCCACAAATTCGAGGCCAGCCTGGAGCATGTCGTCTGTTCAAGGCCAGCCCGAACTATTGAGCGAGACCCTGCCTCAAAAATCCAAAAGAATGAAAAAGTAAAATGAATAAGATAAAAAATTTAAAAAATAAAGGGCTATGAAATGTCCTCTCCCCTCCGAGGGACGGGTGCAGTGCACTGGGACAGCACAGTGCTCCGCCTGCAGCTCCGGGGAGAGGGACGACGCCCCTCGCAGTGGACCGGGGAAGGTACAGGTGGGGGGCAGCCTCGAGGGTGCCTGGGTTCTCCGCTTCCAGCTCTCGAGTCCACTCCGGGTCTCAGGAGTTCGAGGCCAGCCTGGGTACCCAGCAAGGCCCCGCTCAGACACCAAACCAAAGCAAACCCAACCCAGAGAAGCATCTGCTCCCCGCAATTTGCTTAGACGGGCGGGCAGCTGGGACCACAGCTGGCCGGGGGCCAAGGGCGATCCCGGGCCTGGTGCTCCCGGCTGGTGCGCGCTCAGCGGCAGTATTAGCAGCACGCCCTGACCCGGCGGGGGGCGCACGCCTGTCACCCCAGCTCGCCGGAGGCTGAGGCGAGAGGATCTCTGAGAGTTCAAGGCCAGCCTGCGCTACACGGCCAGACCCCGTCTCAGAAAACAAAGAGCACCCCATCCCTCAGACAGCAAGCAAGGCCAAGGGCAGATGCCCTCCCCGTGCCCCCAAAACCGAACAGCGACCTCGGCCCAGACCCTGGCTTAGAGTCTGGCAGAGCGCGAGTCTCCCGTAAACACAAGCTGCCCGATGTAAAAATAGCTTGAGAGGAACGATGCAAAATGGGCTTTCAGGAAAACTAATTTTCCTTCCTCAAAATTTCAAAAATACAGGCTTTGTCCTATAAATAGCAACTCCCAGAACCGCGGACCGAAAACAGTGGCCAGGGTTGCAGCGGGGCCCGGAGCGGCCCAGGCCGTCCTCAACCCCGCCCCCTTCCCCGCCCCCGCTGCGGCTCCTCCGACTCCGCGGCGCCCGGCCTGCGGTGACGTCACCGACCCAGGGATGGGGCAGAACCCGGGCCGGCCGCCCGCCCAGGGCTCGCTGTGA